TTGTTCATCACTCTACTTGTCGAGATACTCCTCAACAAAATGGTATTGCTGAACGAAAAAATAGGCATTTATTATAGGTCGCTCGAGCCATAATGTTTTCTATGAATGTCCCTAAGTACTTATGAGGGGAAGCAGTCCTCACGGCTGCCTACCTAATAAATCGGATGCCCACTAAAGTTTTAAAGTTTAAAACTCCTCTCGATCTTTTGAAAGAAATTTTTTTTACCTATCAAAGTTTTTGGGTGCACTACTTATGTGCACATTCCTAGTCATTTTCGGTCAAAATTAGATCAGAGGGCCATTAAATGCGTTTTTGTGGGCTACGATTTTCGAAAAAAATGGTATAAATGTTTTGATCCTCAAACACGAAAACTTTATGTAAGTATGGATGTGTCCTTTTTGGAAAATCAACCCTTTTTTTACCCAAAATTATATTCAGGGGGAGAAACTAAATTTAGAGGAAAAGGATGATAATTTTTGGGATATACCTATGGATATACCTRCCCCCCTCCCTAATGTTATAAGTCCCAATGTTACTAGTCCTTCAATGCCAAGTGTAGAAGGTTCTCACTCAGGGTACTACAAAATGATGAAATCGATCCAAATCCTGGGTTTAAGTTTTATACTAGAAGAAGACTCAATCAAATAAATGAGGACCGGATAGCTGACTCATCACAAATCCAATCTGAAACTCCGAGGGATGATTCTGAAACTCCAGGTAATCCATCTTCTATCCTTGTTACTCYGAATATTGAAAATGTCTCATCTGTTATTTCTGATCTTGATGTCCCTATAGCCTTAAGAAAACGAACTCGAACTTGCACCAAATATCCTCTTGCAAACTATATCTCTTATAAAAAATTGTCAAGTAGTCATGAAGCTTTTACATCTAGGATAACAAACTTGTTTATTCCGAGGAACATACAAGAAGCCCTAAATGATCCAAATTGGAAACTAGCTGTTACGGATGAGATGAATGCTCTAAGACAGAATTGTACATGGGATATAGTAGATTTGCCAAGAGATAAGAAAACTGTAGAGTGCAAGTGGGCGTTTACAATCAAGTGTAATGCTGATGGTATTATTGAAAGGTATAAAGCTAGACTAGTTGCAAAAGGATTTACTCAAACCTATGTGATTGATTACCAGGAAACTTTTGTTCCTGTTGCTAAAATCAACTCAATTAGAATACTTTTATCTCTAGCTACAAATTTAGATTGGCCCCTTCATCAACTCGATGTAAAAAATGCTTTTCTGAATGAAGATCTTGAAGAAGAAGTATTTATGAATTTACCACCAGGTTTTGAAGCTAACCTTGGGAAAGGGAAAGTATGCAGGTTAAAGAAATCTCTATATGGACTCAAGCAGTCTCCGAGAGCCTGGTTTGAACGATTTGGTAAAGTGGTTATGAGCTATGGATTTCTTCAGAGTCAAGCTGATCATACCATTTTCTATAAACGTTCTGGAAATAATAAAATTGCAATTTCGATGGTCTACGTAGATGATATTGTGCTTACAGGTGATGATGAAGTAGAATTGGCCACTTTAAAGAAAAGACTTGCATGCGAATTTCAAATCAAGGACCTAGGAACGTTAAAATACTTCCTAGGGATGAAGTTTGCAAGATCTAAGAAAGGTATCTTTGTTAATCAAAGAAAATATATTCTTGATTTACTTGAAGAAACAGGTTTGCTTGGATGCAAGATAGCTGATACTCCTATTGAATCTAATTTGAAATTGGAAGCTGCAAAAGAAGAAGAAGTAAAGRATAAGGAACGATATCAAAGCCTTGTGGGAAGATTCATTTACTTATCTCACACACGTCCAGATATTACTTTTGCAGTGAGTATGGCAAGCCAATTTATGCATTCACCAGGATCAGTTCACTTTGAAGCTGCCTATAGAATTTTAAGGTATCTGAAAGGAACTCCAGGAAAAGGTATATTGTTAAAAAAACATAACCATTTACAGGTTGAAGTTTATACCGATGCTGATTGGGCAGGAAGTATGATAGATAGAAGATCTACTTCAGGTTACTGTTCGTTTGTTGGAGGTAACTTAGTCACTTGGCGAAGTAAAAAGCAAAATGTAGTAGCCAGAAGTAGCCCTGAAGCTGAATTTAGGGCCTTAGCCCATGGTATTTGTGAAGGGATATGGATAAAAAGATTGCTTGAAGAATTGAAAGTCTTTCAGAAGACACCCATACGAGTTTATTGCGACAACAAGGCTGYCATCTCCATAGCCCACAATCCAGTCCAACATGATAGGACTAAGCATATTGAAATTGACAAACATTTCATAAAGGAAAAAGTGGACACTGGTGTGATATGTATCTCTTATCTCCCAACAATAGAACAGACTGCTGATGTATTGACGAAAGGACTACCAAAAGTACAATTTGACAGGATGATTGACAAGCTGGCAATGGAAGATATCTATAAACCAGCTTGAGGGGGAGTGTTGGTTTATTTGTGAATATTAATTGTAATTAGGTGTAAATATTAATTATTATTCTATCCTTATTTACATTCCTTTTATATATTGAGCCTTTCTCCTATATAAGAAGGCTATGTATTTCTTACTTTTTGATATATTGGAATACAAATAATTTTATTCCATCAAAACTAAGTCTTCTCTTCAATTCTTCTGACTACGTTAAAGTCCCCCCCTACACACCAACAATCTCCACAAAGGCCGCTGAGATCATAAAGCTCTTGCCAGAAAGCCTCTCTACCCCTGTGCCTTGCTAGGCCGTAAACGCCTGTGATCCAACTGTTGAGGCTGTCTTTGTAGCTAAATAAAACAGAGACCGAAAAAGACCTACCACTGTGTCCTCCACCATCATTGAGTTCTGGTTCCACATAATAACTATGCCACCCGAAGAGCCCACAGCCTCCAACTCAACCCAACCAATATGTTTGGAGCTCCAAATGGACTTCACCAGCCTTCTGTCTATGTTCTGAAGTTTGGTTTCCTGCAGGATAACCACATCCGGATTAGATCTAACTAAAAAAGACTTAACGAGAGCTCGTCTGGGGGTAGCACCCAGACCCCTGACATTCCATGAAACAACTTTCATTGGGAAACCGAGAGTCCCTCTTCCAGCTCATTCTCCTCAACTTCAAATTCCTTTTCTAAAGCCCACAAATAATTTGTAATTTCTCTAGATTTCTTCTTAGCTGCCGCACTTCTCTTGGTGGAAATAGGTCGTATGCACATCTTCCATTTCCATAAGTCCCTCACAAATTTTTTTGGGAAAGGTGGTCATGCTCCAGCTTCTTCCTCACTCTTTGAGTCAACCTCTTCTGAGATTTGGAGAGCAAGGTTTTTTTTGGGCAGATTCATCCTTATTACTTTCTTCCTCAATCTCCAAAGACAACATCAAGCTAGAGGAGGCCATGTGGATCTGCTGCTCTTCTTCCCTAAAACAAGCAAAAAAACCATCTGGTATTTCGCCCTGCAACTCGGTTTGGGCGACAGGGGTTGCCTCCACCATTTCCTCCTCCACACTACTCACACTTAGAGCAAAAGAATCAGACGTGAGATCTCTGTCTAAGGAGGGATTTCTTTGCCCAATTTCTTGACTTGTATCGAAATCCGTGAAGCATATTTTCCCTTTCTTTTGGAACAATCTGGTTTGATTGTTTTTAGAAAAAGTTACAGCCTTTTCTTTGTTTTTTGTGTTTATCTTCACACCTTTTGAGGAGGACCTTGTTAGCAGCCTACTATTATCGGTATCCGCGTTGCAGAAGTCAACTTTGTCTTTTTGTTTTGCTGTCTTAGTGGTGGGCCCCACTGTCACCTTATCACTTCTTTCCAAACTCGTGCAAGCAACAGTCTTGTTAGAGTATATATTAGTATATTTTATATTCTTGTGTTAATATTAATTTGTCCTTTACCTTCTCCTTATAGGATTAGGTCAACATTGTATATTTGTCTATATATATAGACTTTAATAATGAGAATACAGAACATTGGATTCTCTCCAACCTTAGTCTCTACATGGTATCAGAGCTCTAGGTTTTGTGCCCATTAGGGTTTTGATGTCCATTAGGGTTTTGTGCCCATTAGGGTTTTGATGCCCATTAGGGTTTTGTGCCCATTAGGGTTT